CTCACTTTGCAGATCTCAGCATACCAATACTAATACACTTACTATTGATATCTCAGGTTGAAATGTAATCGCCAGTGTTGGAAGTGGGGCCTGGAGGGAGGTGATTGGATTATGGGGGTGGGTTTCTCTTGAGTGGTTTAGCACCATCCGCTTGGTGCTGTCCTGTAACAGTGAGTGAGTTCTCATGCGATCTGGTTGTTTAAAAGTGTGTGGCATCCCTCTTCCCTCTCTTGCTCCTGCTCTGGCCATGTCATGTACCTGCTCCCTCTCTGCCGTCTACCATGATTGTGAGTTTCCTGAGGCCTCCACAGCCGTGCTTCCTGTACAGCCTGCAGAACAGCGACCCAGTTAAACCTTTTTCCTTTATAAATTACCCAGTCTCAGGTATTTCTTTATAGCAATGTGAGAATGGATGGATACAACTATAAATTTTGATTTCCTGAACATATAAATATTTATATCTGCTATGCCCATTCTCCCCATCTTGTGCATGCTTTTCCTACATCTGTGCCGTAGATCATATGGCCATTACAGACTGTGATCTCTCCCTTTTGAGCCTCAGTTAACCTTGTTCCACCAAGTAACTACATATTTAATCTAACTAATACTTAAGTCAGTGTCTCTCTAGTTATTTTGTTTACCCTAAGCTTGTTTTCTGGTAGAGTCCTTAGGAAGTTTTCATGGAAGCAATAGTCTCTGAGTTACTCAAGTGTACATTATACTGGAAGATCAGATATGCCGATTCTGACAAAATTCTAGGCTTTTTTTTTTTTTTTTTTGACAACCTTAACTATGTTATTCCACTCTTCAGGGATTAAAGCATTAATGTAGAAAATCTGATAATAAGCTAGTTTTGTTTTCTTAATATGTTAAGTGACCCCTTTTGTGTCTGGAATTTATTCCTTCCAGTGGGTACGTGGTCTCACTGACTTCAAGAATGAAGTTGTGAACCCTCACGGTGAGTGTTACAGTTCTTAAAGGTGATGTGTCCGGAATTTATTCCTTCAGATGTTCAGATGTGTCCTGAGTTTCTTTCTTCTGGTGGTTTTGTGGTCTCACTGACCTCAGGAGTGAAGCGGCAGACCTTCCCAGTGAGTGTTACAGCTCTTAAAGGGGGCGCCTCGGGAGTTGTTTGTTCCTCCCGGTGCATTGGTGGTCTTGCTGACTTCAGAAATGAAGCCACAGACCCTTGCAGTGAGTGTTATAGCTCATAAACGTAGTGGCAACCCGAAGAGTGAGCAGCAGCAAGATTTATTGTGAAGCGCAAAAGACCATTGTTTCCAGAGCATGGAAGGGGAAGGAGCAGGTTGCAGCTGCTGGCTGGGGTGGCCAGCTTTTATTCCCTTATTTGTCCCCGCCCACATCTTGCTGATTGGTCCATTTTACAGAGCGCTGATTGGTGCGTTTACAATCCTTTAGCTAGACACAGAGCACTGATTGGTGCATGTACAATACGTTAGCTAGACACGAAAGTTCTCTAAGCCCCCATCAGATCCAGAAGCTCAGCTGGCTTTACCTGTCACTTTTGCCTACATGTCCAACGGATTTTTTAAAATAAGTTAAGTACTTTTAATAGTAAATGACTATGGTTATTCTCGGGTGGTATTTGTAGGACTCAGTGTATTTAGTATGCGGGTTCAAATAGTTTTTGTTTCATGAAAGTTTCTTTGAACTATAGTTTTTATTATTTGTTATATGTCTTTTCTTTAGCTTTCTTCCTTGGGGAACTGCTTTTAAGCATATGCTGAATTTTTATTGCCTATCTTCAAGATTTTTCACTTTTTTCTGAAATATTTCTATTTATCATTTTGGATTATGATTGATTTTTTTTCACTCTTCTACTCTTAAGGTGTTGTGTGTTGTTATTTTTTCTTGTGTTCCTTCTAGGTTAGTCTTTATTTCTAAAATGTTTTTCTTTTATTCTAATTGTTTTTGAGTTCCGCTGTCTCATTATTGAATGTGTCTATCTATGGTTCGTGGGTTTAAAAAATGCCTTTTACTTTTTTCTTAAATTTTTAGATGGTTTAGAAATAGTTATAGTTTTGGTATTTTTGGTGTCTTTTCATGGTAGGGTTGTTATTCTGCTCCATATTTGTAGTTTTCTTAAAGTAATTTTGTTACTTGAGATACTTTTCTACCCAGTTTTCTTTGTGTAAAATAAGTTTCCTTAACGTTCAGAACCTTGTACAGGCATCCTTTGCAACGTTAAAGAGCTTCCTCTTCAGTTTCCCCTAGTGTAAAAAGGAGTGGTGGTCTGGGCTCTGCAGTCTCCTGTCTCTCTTCCCCTCCCTTCTTTTATTGAGCCCCTCTCCTTCCTTCATGCATGGTTTCTCTGTCCTTCTCATTCTGATTGCATTTCCAGCATTTTCTCCCTGGTGGAGGGGAGGGCAGAACGGGTCAGTTTTATGAGTTCCCAGGTCACTGTGGTGTAGCCTTGCTGGGACTCCTGGGGTCTGGCACTCACTGTCATTGAGTGGGCACGCTCTCCTGGATTCATCCATTGGTCTCAGCTCCAACCCCTCTCCTTTCCCGTGGACACCTATGGACTACCATTGGATTCTGTTCTTGGATCTTCCTTTTTGCCTTTCTTTCCCATACAAACACTGATGATAGGCCTGTCTTGTGTGGGAGGTAATTTGTCCCCATCTACTTTTATTTTGGAGTCTGTGGAGATACCTTAGCACCTAGTTTTACTGTAAAAATTGACCACAGATTTTTTGGTTTGGGCAACTAAGTGCTCTGTTTTTGTGTGTGGATTTGGGAAAATAAAACAACCAGGCCGATACCACCACCACCACCTTTTAATTTAAACAGACGCTTTCCTAGGGAGGATCATTGTTTCTAAAAATTAAAAACAAGAATTGACCTGGAAAATGTGCCAACAAAAAAGTCCTCTCTAAAGGACATGTTTCGTGTCCAGATAGCTTCACTGTTAAATTTGTTCAACATTTTTAGGCCAACGATTCCTATGAAATGTAAACTTATAGAATAAAACAAAAATTGAAAATTGCCAAACTCATCCTATTTAGAAAACATCTTTATTTTTATTCTGTTTATAAAAGATATGAATATATAAAATAAACTTTATACATTTATAAAAAGAAAAAGTTATAAAGTCAAACCTGCAGAAGTTTGTAAAAAGAAAAACAATGATCCCCAGTGTATTTGTTGGGGCTGTCATAACATGGTACCATAGGTGGGTGGCTTAAAAAGCAGAAATTCATTTTCTCACAGTCCTGGAGACTAGAAGTTCAATATCAAAGTGTTGGCAGGGTTGGTTCCTCTGAAGGCTATGAGTACTATGTGTCTCATGCCTCTTCTCAAGCTTTTGGTGGCTTTTGGGCAATCTTTGGCGTCTCTTGGCTTGCAGAAGCATCACTTGATCTCTGCCTTCTTCTTCACATGGCGTTCTTTTTGTGTGTTTGTGTGTATGTTTTTGTCCATATTTTCCTTTTTGATAAGACACTAGTCATGTTAGATTAGGAACTCACCCTCCTTGGTGAGTCCTATAAAAAAGGAAATGTGTCTTATCAAAAAGGAAATCTTGACTAACTAAATCTTCAATGACCTTATTTCTAAATAAATTCATGTTCTGAAGCACTGGGGTTAGGACTTCAGTGTATGAATTTTTGTGGGACACAATTCAACCCATAGCATTCAGCAATCCATTTTTTTTTTCCCCTTAACATTGTGGAACTACTAGAAATAAAGTATATTTGCAGTTTGCTAAATCATCTTCTGAGTTTTGTTTACTTCTCTCTTATTAGTTTGGTGACTATGCAGCCACTGTATAGGTCTTCACACTTCTCAATATTCATGCTCGTTTTCCTCCCTGACAGAACCCTCTTCTTGTTGAGGAACATAAATATGCTTGGCTACAAAAGACTGTATTTTTCTACCTTCCCTTGTATTTATGTGTAAACAATGGGATATAAGACAACTTAGATGAACGTTTTTCCCTTTTCCTTCTCTTTTCTCTGCTTGGAAGCAGACATGATGGCTGAAGCTCCAATGCCCATCTTATGAACATGGGATGATTTTGAGATAAATACCATAGGCCGAAAGGAAAAACAGACAGAATAAGCCTGTATTTCTATACCAATTTGAACTGAAGTAGCCTTGGACTTCCTATCTCTAGCTTCAGTTTATTTGAGGGGAAAAAAAAGTAAATCTCTTAATGTGTTAAACCATTACAATTTTGGTGTTCTTTTAGTATCAGCTAAACCTAATCCTAGCTGACACAGACATATCAAGTAATATTCTTAAATCCATATTCCTTAATTCATCCATTTTAAAAATGAAACCGAATCTATTGATTTCTCCCATGAAAGATGAACAAATCAGCACATTTTCCTTATATCTCCTCTTTCTAACCGGCATTCATCAGTTGGCTGCGTCCACCTGCTGACACAGTCTGGATTTTATCCCAATCCACAATCATCAAATTATTTATACATTATTTATCTTTTATTTCAAGAATGTTATAATAGCATGTCATGGCATTTTAACTCTATTTACCCCCAACTGTTTTAATTTAACCTATGGTTTTTTTTTTTTAATTTTAAATTAATTAATTGATTATTTTTTTTAGATGCAGTTTAGGTCTTGTTGCCCAGGCTGGAGTGCAGTGGTGTGATCTCGGCTCACTGCAACCTCCCTTTCCTGAGTTCAAGCGATTCTCCTGCCTCAGCCTCCCAGGTAGCTGGGATTATAGGCACCGGCCCCCATGCCTGGCTAATTTTTTGTGTTTTTAGTAGAGACTGGGTTTCACCATATTGGCCAGGCTGGTCTCGAACTCCTGACCTCAGGTGATCTGCCCACCTCGGCCTCCCAAAATGCTGGGATTACAGGCATGAGTCACTGTGCCCAGCCAATTTATCTTATGTTTAATAGAGTTCAATGTTCACTATGATTTCTTTCATACAAATGATTTCCGCATTTGTGATTTAATCTTTCATTTGGCGTCATTTTGGGGTCGATTTATTGCAGGTGTTTGAAATCAGAAAACAAGTGAGGCTTAATCAAGATAGGAGTTTATTTCTCTCTCCCAAAAGAAGTCTGGAAGCAGGCAGGCCCGGGCTGTGACTGGGCCTTCGTGAACTAAGTCCTAAAGATCTAGACTGGTAGCCCTCTGGCCTCCTCAGAAGAAAGAGAGACGGAGGACAGGCTTCTCCCTGGGAAAAACTGCCCGGAAACCCCTCACAGCACTTCTTGGATTCCTTTGGACAGAACTTGATCAACATGGCAACAGCTGAATGAAAGGGAATTTGGAAAGTGTCATTTTAAGTCTGGCTGGCTCTGTGCCTTCCTCATTTCAGAGTCCCGTCCCTGACGAAGCAGGAGACACAACCAGCAGACTCTGCCACAGTCTTCGCGTATATACCCCATGTGACGCCTGTATCCTCAGTCCTTGGAAAGGTAGGAATGTTTTCTTTTTCCTTGCCAATAAATGATGACTCGTAAAATTGACATGGAATACTTGCAAACCATTTTTTTTTGTTGTTACTACTGTGCGAGCATAGCTTCATTCTTTTGTGGGATCCAGTCCTGCTGAGGTACCTGAGGCTGAAATTTTCTCTGAACTGCTGGTGATTTGTTATTATGTCGAGATGCTGAAGGATTCTTCTTTTCTATTGAATTAAGCAATGAATTCTCTATTAATTTTACTGGTAGGATGAGGTGTTTTCCTTTTTTCCAAATCTACAGATTCATTTGTTGTTGTTGTTTGTTTGTTTGTTTGTTTTTTTCCTGGAAAGTTTTCTCATAGTAAAACTGGATATTTTTTGTTACCTCTGTTTTATTTTCTTCTTCAGGAACAATTTTGAACATATTGGTTTTCTTTTATTTGTTCTTCATGTAATTGTTTTGCACATTTATTTTATCTGTTTGGTTTTTCACTGCTTTATCCACAGATAAATGGTCGATGTTAGCTCTCAACATTGTTGAGTTAATTTTAAACAGCATCAATGATACATTCTGTGTCAAATATGGCTTCCAAATTTTGTCACAAATTTTGTCTTTTTTTTAATTCCCTTATCACCTCTGAAAGTTTATTTTTTATATTGTTCAGAGTCCTATCATCTCTTTTTTTGTTCTTTATTTTGAAATAATCTCCTGCTTGCAAAAATGTTGCAGGACTAGTACAAAGAACTTTATTTCTGAACAATTTGTTAAGTTACGACACAATGCCCATGAGCCCAAATACTTTAGCAAATAGTTCCTACAACCTGAGACACTCCTCTACATAATGCCAATACAACCATCAAAATCAGAAAATTAACATTAATATAGTATTATAATCGAACCTACAGACTCGATCCAAGGTTCCCATCATTGCAATAATGTCCTTTCTAGTAGGAGGATTCAATCCGGTCGACACGTTGAATTTAGCTGTCCTACGTTTTTAGTTTCTTTCTGGCTGGATGTCTTCTGTATTTTTTCTTGTCTCTCAAGGCCTTGACATTTTTGTATATTAGAGGCCTATTGTCTTAAAGAATGCCCCTCTATTTGGTTTTGTCTGATGATTAGACTCAGATTATGCAATTTTGGCGGCAATCTCACGGAAGTGACAATGTGTTCCTATCATGCATCCTACCACACATTAGGTGGTTGCAGTTTGTCGAATTACTGGTGAAGTTAACCTTGATCACTTGGTTAAAGAGGTACCTGCAGATTTCCTCGACAGCATGGAGGCGTACTGAGAGTGTGGACTATCGCATTTCTCTTGACCTTTCACTCACCAATTCAGCATCATTGGCTGAATTCTTACAATGATTAATCAATTGTATTCCACTGATGGAGGAAGAAAACATTCTCCATTTTCCATTTATTTACTCATTTACTTATCTCAGCATAGACTCACGGATTTCTGCTTTAGGAGATAGTATCACTATTTCCTTGCTCAAATTGTCCGATGTGGCCCCTGGGATCCCCTTCATGACATGGCCAATGGGAGCCCTTTGTGCTGGTTTCTGTACGCTCTTCTCATCATTGTGCTGAGCACTTCCTCACATCTGGAATGACAATGAGTTCCAGGCTCATCTTGAAGGTTGCCTGCCCTAGTCCCAAATCCACCATTTCCCCATCGAGTCTTTTTTTTGTGTGTGTTTAGTTTTTGAATGTAGGGAATAATATTTGACAGTCAACATGTAATGCTTTCATCATTAAAATATGCATATTGCCTAAAAAGTAAAAAGGATTGGTATTCAAACTGGGCAGATAACAATAAAGTGAAATATTCGGCAGGTTGAAAGCAAAATCACAACAGACTCTAGCTCAAAACAAAATGAATCAATTCTGCTAATATTTGCATGTTGGTGTTGCACATTTCCTTACTCTCTATGTCAAAGTAAGAAAATTAATATCCATATGGGCTTTTTAAAGTAAAGTGTTTTGCATGGATATCGATCAACCATAAAAGTCATTTGTTGAAGCAAAAGAAAAAATCATTAAGATAACGAAGAGCTAGAACTTTATATTGTACACTGGGACAACACTTGGTAACTGCAACACAGAATGATGCCTTCCATTCATGAGTGTGTATGTGTGTGTGTGTGTGTGTTTGAGAGAGAGAGAGAGACAGACAGGGTCTCACTCTGTTGCCCAGGCTGGAGTGCAGTGGTGCAATCTCAGCTCACGGCAGCCTTGACCTCCTGGGCTCAAGTGATCCTCCCTCCGCAGCCTCCCGAGTAGCTGGGACTACAGGCACGCCACCACTCCCAGCTAATTTTTGTATTTTTGGGGAGATGGGTTTTCGCCATGTTTCCCGCTTGGTCTTGAACTCCTGAGCCACTTTTAAACAAACTTTTAAAGAACTACCTCCAGATTCAGTATCAGCATCTGTAAAGAAAGCTCTAGCAACAGGAATAGCTTCTGCCTCTCCCAGCCTGCTGATTGGGAGCCCTCCTCATGACAGCTGTCATACCCTGGTAACCTCTACCAGTCACCCATGTGACAAGTGATACTTAAGTCCAATTTATGCAACACCATTTGACTAGTTTTGGCAATACCAGAACAGAAGTGCTTGGTTTTATCCATTTATGCTTTCCATCTTCATTAAGAGAATGTGGTCAAAGGATGGTGGTCTTGTGACACTCCATTAAGATAATGATTTGTAGAAAGTAGATATCAACCATTTCTTCTACAAACAGATTGAGCATAAGAGGAAATTATTTTAGCTCTGGCAACTCTTGACCAGTGGAAGATAAAACCACTTCAGAGAACCAAAGCTTAATATTAGCAATATTGAATAAAGAATTTAACAGAGTTAAACCCTGAAGTAGTGGAAGACTTTCTGGACTCCATTGCCAATATCATGAGGTTAAACATCACCATTTGGGTTTAAGATGATGCCCAAAGGTTAGGAGCTGGTCAGTCAATTTCCCTACCCCCGCTGCCCACCTACCCCAAGGCCGCTTCCTCCAGGATGCCCTCCCTGATATGCATGGATACATGCCTCTCCCTTCCTGTGCTTCTTGTAGTCTCTGAACATTGCTTTACCATCATCACATCGGATTATAACTTGTTTCCTAAACATCTGTCTTCCCAGAGAGATACAAAATTCCTCATAGCCGAGGAAGAAATCTGAGTCATTTTTTTTTTCCTTTGTGGAGCACAAAATTTGGCATATAGCAGCTTCACCAAAATGCAATTTGAAGGAACCTTTCCTTTCTTAATGTTTCCTTAGTACTGTTTTGTCCCTCTAAATGTGCATTTATTTTATACTGTTGATTTAGGGAGTAAATATGTTTCTCTCGTCCATTGAGTTGTGATCTTCTCAAGGACTGGATTTTATCTACATCTTCCTATTCTAGTATATGCTCAATACTCTTTTCACTGGATTAAATTAATAGCTTTATTTTTCTAAAGATTTTAGAGATAGTGTTGATTTAGCTTGTGTTCTTCCATCTAGTGATTCCTTCAGATAAAAAGGGTTGTTGATTCTTGTTGGATGGATTAGGAGAATAGATTATTGATCATGGATCTCTCTAGCAAAACCAAAGGACAGACTTTAGGAGGATTGTATCAACACCTCCATCTTTTTTTTTTTGTTTTTTTGAGACGGAGTCTCGCTCTGTTGCCCAGGCTGGAGTGCAGTGGCCGGATCTCGGCTCACTGCAAGCTCCGCCTCCCAGGTTTACGCCATTCTCCTGCCTCAGCCTCCCTAGTAGCTGGGACTACAGGCGCCACCACCTCGCCCGGCTAGTTTTTTTTTTTTGTATTTTTTAGTAGAGATGGGGTTTCACCGTGTTTGCCAGGATGGTCTCGATCTCCTGACATCGTGATCCGCCTGTCTCGGCCTCCCAAAGTGCTGGGATTACAGACTTGAGCCACCGCGCCTGGCCAACACCTGCATCTTATCCACATTTTGGGTTTTCTACTGACTGGCAAAGAGACACCCTTACTACGTGTCGTTGACTCACGGACTTTAGATTGAGCCCTGTTTGGGCAGTGGCCCAGGGAGCTGGGAAGGAGCAAGAAGGAAAGAGTCTAGCTTCTAATTAAAATTCCCCAGTTCTGTGCACCTGCATAGCTTCAAACCCGATATCCCATTTCCTAAGACAAGTTGGGTCACTTACTCCCCTCTTAGCATCCAAATACTCATAGCTCTTCTTTTGTGATTTCCTTTCCTTTCAGGGCTGCTTAATTTTTAAAAAATTTATTATTATTTTTTTATTTCCATAGGTTTTTGGGGAACAGGTGGTATTTGGTTACGTGAGTAAGTTCTTTAGTGGTGAATTGTGAGATTTTGGTGCACCCTTCACCCGAGCAGTATACACTGTACCCAATTTGTAGTCCTTTATCCCTCCCCCCATCCCCCTCCCCCACACCCTTTTCCCACATCCCGGAAGTCCATTGTATCTTATGCCTTTGCATCCTCAGGGCTGCTTTTAAAGTTCCCTTGAGGACATCGCACTTGTAGAGTCAGAGAACTAGAAAAGTTGTTTGCCCCAGGCCTCCTGTATCCAAGGCTAATTCCCACAAGTCAGGTCCTAGTGTAACTAACAGGTTGTTTCAGATCTAAACATGAAAACTGCAAAAACACTTTTTCAATTTTTTTAGGTGTGTTCGCCTGGGTAGTTATGGTAATCAGTACCTACAAGTGTGTGTTTCCCAAGGGCCAGGTGCCTTCCCTCTGTGTGTGTGTATTCATTGATAGATAAACCTATATTCTGGTTTATAGCGGTATGAAATTTTATATGCATACATATATATGCATGTTGTCATTTAATAATTGAAGCTCCCCTATGAGGGAAGCACTGTCACCCCTGTTTTATAATGAGAAGATGGAGGCCTGGAGTGATTAAGTAACTAGTCTAAGAATATTCAGTTAGTAAGTAGGTTAGCCAGGACTGGAATCGAAGTATTTCTGACTCCAAAGCCGTTGCGTTTCCACCTTTCTGTATTACCATCTGGGG